CTCGATCTTCTATGGCTTATACAGTTTATTTGTGAATTCATTCAATTATTAAATATAAATAACCCATTACTTATTATTAGGTATTATTCTATAGTTGGTGCCCTGTGTATATTCTTTTTCAAGATTTTTTGAGTAAGTGTCGACTTTTCATTCAATGTTTACACATTTTTTGAGTTTCGTAATTTTGTGTGATTATAAATGTCACTTTTTTTCAATTGCAAAAGTTAACAATCAACTTCGTTTAATAGAGATTTATAGATTGGACATTGTTAGTTGACTATGGTTTTTTATTAATAAATGCTGTGATGTGTTTCTTTCTTTTCTTTTTTGAGTTTATTCAGTGTGTGATATAGAGAAAGACCCAGGCCTAAAACTTAAGGAATTTTTTTTCAATAACAAGTAATGTTGGCAAAAAGCGCCAAAAACTAGTCCTTCGTATGAGTTTTGATCCCAATTTTCGTTTTGGGTTAACACTCAAAACCTTTTGTTAACAGTTAGAAACTGATGTACTATGATGTACTACTAATGCTTGTTTGAAGCGGTATTTTCAATTGTACAGAGATGTTTTGTTGCATGTTGTGTTAGAATGTAGCTTTGTCAGGCTTTTTAATAGAAAATGTATGGGAAATAAGCAAATGAAGGCCTAAACCTCATTTTCGATTCAAAATTTTGCTTTGGGTTTAACACTTTGATTCCACTTTCATCGGTCATCTCCACTTCCAAACAAGTTAAACTTTCTGAATAACAGGATTTTAGCCTTACAATAGCCTTTTTACAAGAAAATAGTTTTTGCCGCTCACCGCTTGAATACGAAAAGAATTCTATCTTAATAAGAAATATATTATAGATATTAATACTATTTTGATAATTGTATCTTAATTTTTATCAAAAAGCTTTCTTTACATATACCATTCGTAATTTTTAGCATTCGAGGCAATATTTCGAAATATTGAGTTGGCTGTGACGAAATCGAAACAAACTGAAACTCAAAGAGCAGCGGCTACTTCGTGGTGAAAGTGCGAACACTAATCTAAAAGGTTTCACAGCTGAAAGTGCGTCAAACTTCTAACTGCAAATGTCTAACCGCCGCTTGCTTTTTCCAGTGATGAAGTAAAAACAGCAACGGAATAATTAAGCTACCGTATTTTCACTGAAATTGGCCTTCGGCCTTCGGCCATATCGGCTATTGACTCATAGCCCATTCGAGCTCGAGGACTAATTTACTTAATATAAATTCTGCACATGAGTTAATACCAGCCTTCATTTACTGTAAGAAAGCTGATTCATAATTTTAATAAGTAGTGGTTTAGAAAAACGTTTTAAAAGAAAAATCAAGGACACGAGGTCGTTGTTTCTGATTTTTCTTTTACAATTCAGTATACATGGCATGCTATGTTATTTTTAAAAAAAACAAGAACCTCATTGAACCTTCTCCAACGAGGATATGGAAAAAAAGTAGTAATTGAGTAAAGCACTAAGTTAGTACAATCTATTATATATGAAACTTTCTTTTGTGTTTCTACGCATGTGGAAAAGAGCCTGGGAATGAGGATGGGGTCCCTGTGGTGAGTGTTGTGTCCGCGGGCTCGTCTTCAAGTTGTCACATCTTGCAATCAAAGTTACTAAGAGGTCAGAAAAATCGGTCAGGAAAGTAAAAAAAAATCGCAAGTTATGGCGCCAACACAGCATTTTAGACAAAAAAGTCGAGCTACTCCAGAAGCAGAAAGCCAAAGAAAAGCAAACAAGCGTAAGAAATCTCTAAAAGAAAAAATACGAGGCGTTCAAAGACTCCTTCGCCAGGTAAACTAGCTCGGCACACGTGGGTACTGAAGAGTACTTTGTCAAGTAAAATCAAGTAAGATTTTTTTTCTTTTTATGATAAAATTTCATTTTAAAATGTTTACAAATTAGAAAAACCTACCAGCCACAGTGCGTGTTGCACAGGAACGAATGCTCACCATGTTACAGGAAAACTTCAAAGAAAGTGCGAAGAAACAACAAGAAATGAAAATGGCAAAAAAGTACAAAATGGTGAAGTTCTTTGGTAAGTTCATTTGTTTGATTAATTTTATTTGTTTAATTGCACGAGAAATTAAACCAGTAAAGACTATTTCGCAGGAGGTGAAAGCACAATAGCAATTCTTGTTATTCTTGCACACTACATGTAATTCAGTAATCATGCAATTGATGTAATAATTGTTAAAGAAGATGAGTATTTTTTTCTCTCGTAGAGAAAAGGAAACTATCAAGAATGTACAAGTCATGTCTGAATGAGCTTACAGTATGCACAGATGAACAAAGGTAATACACACCTACAGACTGAAGCTTCTGCAGTCTATGTCCCATTATTATTGCTTTACCAGTAATTCGAGGAAAAGGGGGGTGACTGTTGTACTGAGAAATTTAAGCAAAAGGGGCCGGGTGACTAGTCACCTATATTACCACCCCTGGATCCACCTCTGCAGAATTCTTTTCCTTATTTGAATCTGTTGGCACAGGCAGGCAGAGATGGAAGACTGGAAGTACTTTAATACACACACTTATAGGGTGTTTGGGGGTTAGGGGCTCAACCACTTTTAAAATTCTGCTTTTCAGGTATTATAGCCTTGTTTCAAATTTTTGCCAATAGCTTTTTCAATTTCATTTGCAATTACTTGTCATAATTAGCTGTGCATGTGCACATGCTCAAGAATTTAACCATTTCCAAATTAAGATAATGCAGCCAGCATCGCGGACAATAGAATTGGGACTTTTGCAGTCAAATCTTTGCCTTATCAGTCATTTTGACCTTAAAGGTTGAGCCAGAAATGAGATATGACCGAGCTAAAACTAATTTGGCCGGTCACCTTAACCCCAGACTTACCGGCCATTATTTTAAGTCCTGATTATTTTTAAAACTTCTTAAATGTTATAAAAAAAGATCCAGGGTTAATTAATAGAAGTTAGCAACCAACAAATCTCTGCAGGTATTTTAACATGAACTCGCTGCTTATTTTGATAAAAATTGCCAAAGAGTACTACAGCTGTATTCAATTTCAAAAACAATGAGACCACTTTATTATTGTATTATTTAATCAGTTCTTATGGGTCATGAAGTTTGACATTGAGATTAGCCTTAAAACTTTGACATCTTAATTTTAAAATATTCATATTCCATTAATTTTTAGGTACTGTATGACGAAAATGTTTTACAATGTCTTGCCTCTCCATTGAAAAAAAAGCAGCATTAGAATTATTTACCAGCCAGCTTCATTTTAATGAATCAACTTCTTGTCAGTGACTGATGCCTAACATGTATTTTTTTATTTTCAGGGAGGAATTAAATAGTAACTTACAACTTCTCAAGCACCAGTGGAACTATATTACAGTAAGAATAATTTTTAGTAAACCTACGAATAGACATAGACATAAAACTCTTTCATACCTAGAGCCATCATAAAACTCAAAAATTGAACATTATACATGTACATTATATTATATATTATATTTTTTATATATATATATTTTTTAATGTGCACACGCTTTTATATAATTATATTTACATCCCTCCGATGTTGGTTAGTAATGATGAGTGTGGAGAGAGGGGATGTAAAAGTTGCCTGTAATTTATCAGGTGATTAATTATTATTTATGGTTCCAATTATCAACGTCAAATGCAATTCAGTAGAGACTCAGATATAACCAAAGTTATCCAATTGTACAGTGATCGATGATGATGATTTCATCATTTTCTCAAAAGTTTTTGATTTTCTTACGTTTCGATCTTCATACATTGTATGTTGACCATATGTTTCCAGTTACAAATACATGTAGGTATTTCTTTTTGTGCAAAGTATGTTTAAAAAGTAAGTGATGAAGTCTTCAATATATGTCAAGCTGTGCCTTGTCAAGATTCGTTCAGTTAATTTCGAGAATTCCAGACTATAGAAAGATCACTTAATTGCCATGTTTGTTTGGCAAAAAGCTACAAATTCGCTGTATTAATCCAACATCAAGTGATTCCTCTTGGAGTAAGCTACCAAGTTCTTTTCAATACTCCAAAAACCAACATTATATTTGACAAGAAATAAGGATAGTAGTTACTGTTGTTGTTGCCAAGTAAGATACATTGGTAGACAAAAAACAGTTGTAGGCCATTTTGTAAAGAAAAATTATGTTCATGTTCTATAATTTTGTTTTAGTTGCAAAACTGAAGCGTGAGACAATCACATACACAAAACTACTGTAAAATTTTAAATTGACCACTGCATGATTTTAAAAAAATTGGTTACAAGTCCAGGTCACTCATTAACAAATTTTTTGTCCCGTGACTGTTTTCAGTGTTTTCAGCACCAAAAGATTAACTGTGCAAGGGGGAGGGGGGATGGGAAGAATTATATATAATATTATGAAATAAATCTGTATCTGGGTCACAATTTTAATTGTGGAAATACTGGTGACCAAGATGTTTGCTGGATGTCTACAGTAGCATTATCCAGCTTAAAACATGGTTGACAATCTCTTTTAATGGTTAAATTTGAACCCCCTTTTAATTTAATTTCTGTTTAATTTTTATTCTTTTATAACTTATATATTTGTTTTAATAACAGCACTTTCCAAAGGATGAGAAATACATATCACTATTTCCACCAACCCCATGCAACAATGCAGAGACTCGACAACACAAAGGTATGTTATTATAATACACGGCATAACACAAGCTACTGCTCTGACTTTCAGAAATAAAATAAAATATAAAAATGTAGTCTAGCCATACTAATTCATCTGTCAGTTATTAAAATGACTTTCTTGGTGTTGCAAGATGTATTGTATTCTGGGTTGTCGTTATCTGTATTGCAGGGTATTGTTTGGCTCCCAGTTCAGTTGTTCTCGGATTTTGTTTTATTGTCTTCATGGCTCAGCTGTCCTGCAACACTGAGAAATTAACTGGGACACAAATTAATGCTCACAAACTTGCAAAATGCAGGCGAAATTTTATATTTAGCGAGTGACAAAAAATTAATTTTTATGCTTTTCAAACATTTGCTAATAAATGAAAAATTTCTTGTTAAACATTGGTTTCATTATAAAGCAATCATAAACCTTACTGTTACGTTACTGATACTTTACTGTTACGTTACCGACACCATACTGTTACATTGCCAGCCACTAACCAACACAATTTAACAACCACTTACTGACCACTCACCAACCACTCACTGACTACTTACCAACCACTTACTGACCACTTACTGACCACTTACCAACCACTTACCAACCACTTACCAACCACTTACCAACCACTTACCAACACCTTAAGCGACACCCACAGCCAGCTATGTTTTGGGAGTATGACTGGCACAGTCCAAAAATTGAAGGACTGAAAAGTTTAGAATCCTCATCAAGTAAAGCTTGTAATTCACCGCGTCTGATGGCTAGTGACTTTGAATTTTTTGCTAATGAGAACAAAACTTACTAGCAAGGTTTTGCTTGTGGGTTTAAAAGTTAATTTTATACCCTGCCATGTATCCAATTGTCAGTTTTTACATGATGTCATCAAAACTTCAAAATCTAAATTATAGTGTTACAAATCACAAGAACAATTTTGAGTCATTCCGGTCAATTTGGTTCTCGAATTATGTCAAGTTTGTGTCACCTGTAATACTGTACGTGTATCTAAATAGCTATTTAAAAAAATAATTTTTACTCTAGCTGAAATATTTTCTCTTAGACAAGTTCAAAATAAGGGCTCCATTTGATATCAGATTGCATTTTGTATATCTGACTGGATAACCCTGTGTAAATAAAGGTTTCTATATAAGTGAATATGGTCAAAAATATTAAAGGGACTCTGAGGTGCCAGACACATCATAGCTTAAAATGTACATCAAA